TATGGAGGGCTTTGAGGAGAGGCGGTCCGTCGCCGAAGGCGGGCGCGGTCTTGCAGCGGGCGCGGCCGTCGAGGTGGGAGGCGCGCCGTAGAGGGACGTCGGCCGTGCTCTCGCCGGCGCAGGGCCCGCGGACGTCTGGCCGGGCGGCCGCAGGACGGTGCTTCCGTTAAGGGTGGCGACGCTCCTTGCGCGCGCGTGGCCCTTTGTGGGGCTTGACGCCGTTGTGGAGGATGCCGCGTCGGTGGGTGTTTTCGAGGCGGTGATGCCTCCCGACGTCTTCGGTCTCGCGGTCGTCGATGATCTCGTCACGGGCCCGGCGGCGGTGGTGGTGGTGGTGGTGGAGGAGGAGTATTTTCCGAGGTTGCTCGTCGAGGCGTTGGCCGGGTGCCGGGTCCGCGTAAGCCCGGATTCTCTGGTGGAAGACGACCTCGTCAGGCCGGCGAGGGCGCTCGTTCTCGACGGCGGCGCCGGCTGGGGCCCCGAGCCGACGGAAGCTCCTGTGGCGGCGGCATCTCGCTGGCGTGTGGGCGCCGTCGGGGGGTTTCGTCGAAAGAGAGTGGATATGGGGTTCGACTTCTTCTTCGCGGCGGCAGCGTCAGTACCGGCCGTCGTGCTGGCGACGCTGGCGCCGGAAACGCTGCGCGTCGTCGGGCGCGACCGGGGCGCGGGGAGTCTGCTCGGGGACCCCGGGCACTGGTCCGAGGCCGTCGATGTTGTTGCTGCTGCTGCTGCGGCGGCGGCGTTTCCGGTCGCGGTCGGGGGCAGGTCTGTCGAGGAGCCCTGCGTCGGCTTCCGCAGCGAACGTGTGCGAGCCACGGACGAGGACATGATTGGTTTCGGCGGTCACGCGGGTGCTCGACGCCTCTCGCATCGGCGGTCGAGTCCAATTAAGGATGCGGGCCCCCCTTCTCGTTTGGGATGGAATGCCGGCAGATCGGAAATAAATTAAAAGAAAAAAGAAAAGGGAACAGAAAGAAGAAAGCAAGATTCGCTGGATCGTGAGACGGGTAGATGGTGGAAGCGGGTCACAATGGGTGTCAAGGTGAAGCCGAAATGTTGATGTTGACCTCAGGGGCGCATGTGGATGGTTCTTGCGGTGTGGGGGGTTGCTGTGGGGCCCCTAGCGGTAGGTAGGTAGTAATCAATGGTGGGGGACGGTTGGTATCGCTAATCGCAGCAACGTCCGTCCCTACCTACGTCACACAGGGCTGCAGGGCGGAAGGCTTCTCTTCACTTTTTCTCTAGCGCCGGCGCTTGGGTCTCCTCGACTCCCGCTGTCGGCGGGCGGGCTGAGCCGAACGATGTCGCCCCCAGACGCGACGGTGTAATTTCCGGCGCACCCGACATAAAATCAACATTGTCTTACATAGTAGATTGTCGGGCCGGTTTTTTTTTTTTTTTTTTTTTTTTTTTTTCGCTTTCTTCTTTTCTTCTTCTTTTTTTCTCTATTCCTTTTCTTTTTCTTTTGTTTTTTACGTCGAGAAGCCAGCAAAGAGACTAGGGCAGGTGGCTTCCAATCATTCTTCCATCAGCAGGTGGGAGGGGGTCTCGGAGCTATTTTCGTTATACGATATAATTCGCCATGCATGTCTTGTTGAGATATCTGTGGTCTGTCAGGTAGCACATAGGTCGCTCAGGATGTCACAACGGCTGCGTTGCATACACGAGCTCCAGTCACCCTTTCTCGCGTCGTGTTTGGAATCATGTAGTTTATTGAAAGGGCATTCCTATCTAAGTACCACTTTCCCATCTCTCGTTGCCTGGCTTCGTTTTCGTATGCTCGCCCTCGAGCAAGTAGCATTCCACATCGTACAAAAAAAAAAGGAACTACGTGTGCGTGATTTCTCTCTCCGAAGCCACAGAGGGTCCCTACACACAAAACGTGGTATATGGACGGGGAAAAGAAGGGGTATCAACCAACAAACCTCTCTATCTAGTCCCATGATGAAGCAAGCTCTTTTCCCTGATGCATCCCGAGGCCGAATTGAACAAAAAAAATGGCCATATAATTCCCTTTCCCTATGCCAAAGCAAGCAAGAACGAATTTGAAGAATGGTAATGTCCGTGATTGAGCCGCAGGCTGTTGGGGACTGGGCGCGACGGGCGTTCTTCCGTCAAAGTTTTACGCCTTTTGCACCGCCGGGTCGATGCCTCCAGCTGTGGCAGAGCGTTCCTGCAAGCCGCCGCTATGCGGGTTGCCTTCCAAGTGCGCCATGAGTTTCCTTAGATCCCTGCGGTTGTTGTTGAAGATCTGCAGGCATGAGCCGCACATGCGCACGTAGCAGAACTGGCACTTGTAGCGGTCTTCCGTGTCGGCCTTGCCGCATGTCTGGCAGGTGAGGGCGTAGTTGCGGTTGCGGGTACGGTCCATGGTGCGGTGCTTGACGTAGCAGTCGAACATGCTCTCCTTGAGTGGCAGCGCTTTGGTGATGACGCTGGGGCTGGCGGGCTCCTTGCCGTGCATGGGAAAGTAGGCTGCGCGCGGGTCGGCGGGCGGCAGATCCTCAGTCTTGAGCTCGTGATACTGAACGGGTTCCTGCTGGGGATGTTGGTCCCGCGTGCCTAGCCGCAGGTCGCCCTGCGCGGGGCCAGGCGCCGGCGCGTAGGGCGCGTACTCGCGGGGCGGTTGTTGCCATTGGCCCATCTGTTGCTGTTGCTGCTGCTGCTGTTTTTGCTGCTGCTGTTGTTGTTGTTGTTGTTGTTGCTGCTGGTGCTGCTGCTGTTGTTGCTGCTGGATGGAGGTAAAGCGAGGCGATGGCTGGTTCTTCGTTTCAGGACTGACGGGACTGACCGCAAAGTCTTTTGAGATGGTGGGAGGAGCCTCGCTGCTGGTGACAGGCCCGTCCGCTCGAATCTGAGGCAGGCTTTGGGCGGGGTGCAAGTCGCGCGCCCCGACGGCCTTGCGCGGAATCGGCCCCTTCTGCTCTCCGCTCGCTCGGTCGCGCGCGGGCTCGGGGGACGAAGCGGGCGAGACGGGTGAGACGACGCTGTCGACAACAACGTGCGTCTTGACATCTCCCTTGTCGTAGTCGGGGGTCGGCAAGCGCTTGGTCGGCGAGAGGGTGGTGTCGCTGTGGGACGCTCCCCGGTTCGCGCCTTCCTGGCCGTCGCGCAGGTGCGAGATCTTGTCCTTCAATTTGGACGCTTCCTGGCCCATGTTGCCCGTCACTGGGGATTGATTTTGCGAGGCGACGGGTCGAATATTCCTTCCGGGCAAACCCGGCGTGGTGCGAGGGGGGAACTGTTGCTGTTGGGATCGAGAGGATACGGCCGAGTTTGGAGATTGGCCGGTGTTTGGTTGGGAAGTGGCCGTCGACCCGTGACTGACTGCCAGATGAAGTTGGGGGACCTCCATGTTACGATCGGACTTTACAGACCTCCTTCTCCACAGCGGTCGCTGCGGCGATGAGCTCGAGTCTGGGCTTGTCGGGTTGCCTACAGTCGGGGTCCTGTCCGACTTGGGTGGTGGAGGGGGCGGGCCCTGCCCGTTTCGATATGCCGGGTGAGGCGGCAGGCCCTTGTTTGGTGTCAATCTTTGTGCGCCGTTGCGCTCATTGTCACCAGACGACAATGAAGTAGGCGTCGGGATCTTGACTTCCTTGGTCGGATACTGATTATCAGAGGCATATGTTGGGGCCGACTCTCTCTGGCTGGTGCTTCCGTCCGGTGACATGACGAGGGATTCGCCTGAGCTCCTCGAATAAGCCGACAGCAGACTGCCGATGGAGTGCCTGTGATCGTAGTCGTCTTCATCGTATTCGGGAACGACGGGTTGCGGCTGAGATGAGGGCGTCTGGGGTTGCTTCGCAACGGGGCGGCGAGTGATCTGGACTGGCGGCAACGCTTTCGTCTGGAGGGGAGGGAGAGGAGGGAGAGACTGGTTGAGGGCCTGCTGCGGCGGTGGTAACGGCTTGTCCGACATGGTGAAGAACTTCTTGGACAGCAGCACGGGAGGGACGGGAGGTATCGAAGAAAGCTGTTTAGACTTGGGAGAAGGATCTTTCTCGGCAGGCGGAGGGGTCGGTAGGGCTTTTGAGAAGCGCGATCTCCCCTTTCTGCTGTGGGAGCGGAGGAAGTCCATGTTGGACAAGGCCCCCGGATGGCCGGTGGAGTGAAGGCTGTTGTTGGGTGTGGATGGCAGGCTTCTCCTTCCCCTTAGCTACCTTGTCCGGCTTGCCTCTAGTTGTGGCTCTGGTCCAGGTCGGTTCTCACCAATCGGCTGGGGGGGGGGGTCACCAAGGAGGCCGGAAGGCGAGGAAATCAAGGCACCGAAACTGAGCAAGCGGGCGTGGTGGGACTCGAACAACGTGGGACAGCGGAGGGATGGCGGCAGGATGATTGGAGCGATGAGGTTCTGGCTTTTGCCACGGCGTTCAGTATCGTAGCATGGCGGTCCTGGAAGCAGCAAGCATCAAGGGTCTTGTGAGATGGAGTCTTGTGAGATGGAAGAGAGTATCCGCGACATGCACCGCAGCAGATGCCTGCAGGATAAGAGGTGGTGGTAAGGAGGCGCAAGGCAAGGATGAAGGGGGGAGGGAGGAGGGGAGTGTAGGAGAATAAACCGGAAGGGCGTGTGCGGGAGCCGCGTTTGGTTGGATAGCAAGGGGGTGGGTTTGAAGGGGTGTCAGCAGAAAAGACTGACTGACTGGCCGATTGACTTGGTGACTGCGTGCCGGGAGAGAGATGGTCAGACAAGACGAAGAGGCCCGCGATGGACCAAGGTTCGAACGTTGGATATTTTTGCCCTTTTCTTGGGATGAAAGACGGTTGATTACTATGTAGACAAACAAGTAGGGATGGCATTAGTGTGGGTGGTTTAGAGCGAAAGTATCTATAACACAAGCAGGATTCAGGAACAGGAACTTTCCTGGCCTCGGGTGCTGGGGTTGTCGGCGCTGAGATGGGGCTGGGCTGGGCTGAGCTGGCTTCCTAGGTATGTCCGCGCCAAATGACCGTGGAATCGACTTTGACAACTCACCCAACTGGCTGGCGGTAGAATTTAACTAGCTGTCAGTCCATGCAGCACACACGGGCTGTGCGCGACACAACCAGTCCGCCGCCGCCCACTGTTCACTGCCACTGCCACTGCTGGCTGCCCCATCCATCCCATCCTCCAAGTCATTCCAACGAAACACACCCGTCACGTCGTCTCTCCAACAAGTCATCCGATGTCCATCTCTTTTCCCCATGAGACTGGCTGCTGATTCAATCTGATCCCATCTCTCATCTTAGTTCTGCATGCCTCGGCCGTGCTACGTGTGAGACATTAATCAGAAAGATAAGAGACACACTCCTTTAATCTCGTCACATAGCATTCCCATCTCGATTTACCACGGGCTAAACCCCACCTGAGCAGCCCCGTCGGGGTCTCCCGAAAGAAGGGTCGAATTCAATTGGCAGACTCATCGTGCCACCGGGCATGCCTGTTGTCATGAGTTGACGGTTCAACATGAACACTTTCAAATTCCCCTCTCGTCCGCATCATCACAGCATGACGCCACGACAATGTATGGCAGCATCCATTGAGCGCCCTGCTCAATGCTGACGATGTAGATGGGTGTCCAGCACCGGCCCCGGCAACCATTGAGCAGCCCGAACCAACCACTCTCGGCCGAATCTTCACTCGGACCGTCGACTTTATTTGCCGTACGGATGGATATACAATGTATGTACCTGTATGTCCCATCGACCCTCCGACGTGCCGCGTCGTGAGGGCGCCAGGACCACCCTGGGCATGTCGCCGTTTGCTTTGGTGGCTTTTCTGGTTGCCGATGGGCATGGGCTATAAGTACACCCGGGATACTATTACCGTACTAGCCTAGCTAGCATTGGAGGCCTGGCCAAAAGCATCGTATCGTCCCCTAGCACCGACACGGGAACTAAGGAATGCCCCGTTGTAGACTTGGAGATGGGCGAGCTCCAGCAGTCGCCAATTGCCGCCGGCGAACCTTCACATCCGAGCTGGAAAAGAGAGGCCGCCCGCCAAGCACCTCTCGACGCGGCATAGCTTCATGTTTGTCGCTCGGCTGCGTTGCCGTGCTAATACGACACGCCTGGCGCGATTAGACCGCCGCTTCTCCCATTGCACTGACTGACACGTTTCCATCTTCTAGACCTGTCTTGACAGCTGGCCAGCGCTCGCCCGTTCCCGCCACCACTCATGCCGTTCCAGCGCCCCAAACCAGCCACGGCGGGCGAATACCGATCTGCGCCAGGGAAGCCAACCACGGCCCCACGACTGTTAGGACACAGATGGGGTCGCATCTCACCTTCCCATCCCAGTCCGGCAGCAGACGTACAAGGGGGTCATACCTTGCGGCTCACCAAGTGGCAAGCCCAGAACCCAGCCTGCCCGCGCTCTCCCTGACCCGGAATCCTGTCGCTCAGCAGGGGGCTTCGCGGCTCGTATGAACCACGGGTTTGAGTCTCACAATCAGGCCGCGGGGCGGTCCATGCGGACCACATCAGAGTGAGAGACGCTGCGCTCCTAGGTACCCCTGCCTCCTCCGCCTGCTCCCTTGAAAGGTGAAGCTTATGATGACGAAGGGTCGCTTCCCGTCTCGCAGGCGCACAAAGTTGGGACGACATACTACTGTACTGGTACAGGGTCGGTGCGCCATGAAGCTGCCGTTTGATAGAGGACCCGCCTTCCCAATGATTGGTATGAGGGTGCAGACCAAAAGTGTCGACCGGGGGGGGATTGCGCCGCGGAGAGTACCTAAATTAACGTTAAGATGACTTTTGGGGCTCTCGCTGTGGGAGGATGGAGCGGCAATGCGACGGTCTGTTTCACACTGACAGGATTTTCTATGTAAGACGGGCGGCGATCCGCTTTTCTTCCGCGTCCAGTTCTTTTCATCACTCTTTTCTCCCCGGTCGCTCGTTTCATTCGTTTCCGCTACGAATTCGGGTTATTCTGTCAATCATTTAACCGATCCGGTTGACGCGGTGACGGGTCAGTTGAAGAACACGGATGCCTCGGGGAGGTTCGGCCAAAGACAATCTTCAAGGTGCATCATCACGTGCCGGTCCGCCGGAATGGCGTTCGCCGCGATAACGGATGGGAGCGGCTTATCGCGGGCAAGTGTCCGATGATGGTGCCGACAGAAACGGGGCTTTACTGTATGCAGGAGGGCGGGTTATCAGTCCTCGTCAGCGAGGATGCGAAAGTCGGAGAGAGAGATGGCAGGGCGACGACTTGAAAAGGACCCGGTCCGCAATCGGGCACAACAACACTGAACACCGAATAGTGTTGTGCATCTCTGCACCGAGAAGGCATCGTGAACCCTGTCATTTGATTCTTGACACGCTCGGACGCTCCTTTGAATATCCCCTCCCCCTCCCCCTCCCCCTCCCCCTCTTCCGTCATCATGACTGGCTCCGCTGACGGCACCTCCGTCCCGACGGAGACGTCGCCGCTGCTACCCAACTCCGACTCGGGGGTGGTCAATGACAACGGCACCCTCGAGAACGGCCCGGCCAACGGCGTCCCGGCCGTGGCCCAAGATGCCAACGATAACCGGGACGGTAATCCCGAGATGGCCAAGAAGATGCACATCCTCCTTCCGGCCGTCGGTATTGGCGTAGGCCCCCTCCCCCCTCCCCTTGTACCCGACGAAAACAAGCTTTTCGTGCTCGACCGGTCGCTCACCGGGACGTCTCTAGATCTACCTCTGTGCCGTCGATCAGCTGCTCACCGTCGCAACCTACGCCAAGATCGGCAGCGAGCTGCACGCCCTGAAGAACACGAGCTGGCTCGCGACAGCGTGAGTGCATCGCTTCCGTGGCGCCCCGAGCCAAACCAAACCCGCCCCCTCCCGCCTCGCTGACACGCCACGGTAGCTACTACATCACCCTGACCAGCTTCCAACCCCTCTACGGCAAGCTCAGCGACATCTTCGGCCGCAAGGAGTGCCTCCTCTTCGCCTACGTCATCTTCGGCCTCGGCTCTCTTGGCTGCGGCCTCGCCCAGTCCTTTGCCCAGCTCTGCGTCGCCCGCGCCGTCGCCGGCATCGGCGGCGGCGGCATGAACAGCGTCGTCGCCATCCTCCTCAGCGACATCGTGCCCCTCCGCGACCGCGGCGTCTGGCAGGGCTACCTCAACATCATCTTCGCCGCCGGCACCTCCACCGGCGCGCCCCTCGGCGGCCTGCTCGCCGACACGGTCGGCTGGCGCTGGTCCTTCGCCGGCCAGGTCCCGCTGTGCGCCCTCGCCTTCCTCGCCGTCTACTTCGTGCTCGACCTCCCGCCGGCCGACCACGCCCACTGGCGCGACAAGGTCCGCCGCATCGACTTCCTCGGCGCCGCGACCCTCGTCGCCGCCGTCGTCGCCCTGCTCGTCGGCCTCGACTCGGGCTCCAACAACGGGTGGTCGAGCCGGGCCACCGTCGCGGGGCTGGCCTCGGCCCCGGTCCTCTTCGCCGTCTTCGTCCTGGTCGAGATGCGCGTCGCCTCGCACCCGTTCGCGCCGGGCCACATCATCTTCGACCGGTCGCTGTTCGCGTGCTACCTGGCCAACTTCTTCGGCATCGCCGGCCACATCGCCTCCATCTTCTTCCTCCCGGCTTCTTTCCAGGCCCGTGCGGGGG